ATGGCAGTCTTCTCCAAAAGCTCTCTTCTTATGGTGTGTTGAGTAACATCTTCAAGATTATTGAATCCTTTCTTACTAATAGTAGTATAATATTGTCCTTGATGGACAACACTCTTCTTCATTTCCTGTAACTTCCTGTAAACAGAGGTTCCTCAAGGTTCAATCCTTGGCCCTATACTCTTTTTAATTTACATTAATGATTCTAGAAATTCTCACATCTAAAGTGACATTATTCGGTGATAATACTTTGACGATATATATATTCCTGTCTTGATAAGAAGCCAACACTCTCTGACTGCTTGGAGGGGACATTTGAGTTTAAACAGGATATTACTTCTGCTACAGTATAGGTCTCAGTGGATGGTCAACTTTAACTTAGAATAAAATTCGATTTTGTGCTCGATGAGTCATCTACCCTTCAACCAATCTTTCTTGAAAACTATATATCAAATTGATTGCAAAATTAAAATCTGATGGGGTTGCATCTCTTTATCATGCTCGCTACTTTCTTACTCAATATTCTATTCTTCATCCCTATAAATTTCACTCTTTGTATGGAATACTGGTACCATATCTGGGGCGGATCTTCAAATGATCCTCTTTCTCTTTAAGACATGATGCAAAAACGCATTGTAAACATAGTTAGATCTGCTCTTGCAGCCAACCTCCGACCATTATCACATTGTTGATTGTTACTCTCTTTCTCTTTCCTATAAAATATTATAATGGACAATGCTCTAAAGAGTTAGTGTCTCTTATGTCGCCTACTAAAATTAATTCTCGCTTTACTCATAATTCAGCAAAAACTCAACTTTTTACTGTTCCTAATTTTCCTGTGCTTTGAAAATTCTTATTTATTTTTTTTTTTGAGCATCAAATAGTGGTTGCTTGCAGCCTTGTTGGAAGTGAAGATATTGAAGAAAAAAAGATAATTTGGCAACTAATCAAAAAAATTTTATTTTAAAAAACTGCATAAGTAACTGTATAACTTCATAACATTAAGATAAATACAAATTATAAAACTGAAAAAAAAAATGAATCTTTTTATTCAGTTTTATCTTTTAAAGATGAGTTAAAAATTAAAACCTACAACTTGTGATAAACTGTGCCACTAAAACTAAAAACACTAAAATATTTTTATTCAATTTTAAACAGTAATCTGTATGACAAAGATCCAAAATGCTGGTGTTTTTGGTAATGAAAGTCAGGCCATGATTATACTGATATAATGATAGTTAGGCCATGATTCGTGTCTTAATAAAAGTATCTAATATGATAAATAAATTTAATTCCTTTAAAATTGTTTTTTTAATTTTATTCCAATATTTCATTTTCATAATAACTTAGAGCCTATTTTTAGTTGAGATAAGACTAGTGCAGCAGCTTAAAATGATTTTTCTAAAATAAACTTTTTTCCTAATAAAAAAAATAGTCTATTAATTTACATAAGTGAGTATTTATTTAAAAGCTCAAATAATTTTTGGCTTTTAAATAAATACTCACTTTGTACAAAAAAGTTTTTTTAATTAGAAACAAGAAAGAAGCATTTGTAAATTTTTACTGTGTAACATTAAATAAATATAAACTAAAAATAACAATAAATTGTTAATTAAAACCTCTGACTTGTGATAAGCTAATAAAAATACAAATTAAAATATTTTTATACAATTTTAAATAATTTAAATAAAAAATTGTTGGAATAGAAACAAAAAAAAGCTAATATAAAGTTTATAAAAAGTTTTGTAAAAATAAAATCGATTCCTTTATATATCACCACCATAACAATACTAAATAATTAGGTTCATAAAAACATTATCAAACACCTAACACAAAGTTATATAAAATCAACAAAAAATAAAAAACAGTAACTTATGTTTAAAATAAGGTAATCACTATCTTCTTTTACCTAAAATTTATATTTTAATATTTATTTTATTTTTTGTCTAATAGTTTTTATAAATTTCAAATGAAAGTTTCAGCTTTTAAAACCTCTTTTAAATTAATTTTATTTAAAACTTTAACCTAATAGTTATTTTAATGCTTATAGAAACTAGTACTTTTTATTAAACTATTAAATTTGAGTTGTTATGTAACTTTTGTTTTTGCACAAAAGTTTTTCACTATAGTGTTTAGCCTGTTAAGATACAATTTCTACATAATAGAACATGTTTCTTTACCTAGCATCTTGAATATGCGAACTTTAGTAATTAGTAAAATACAAAAAACATTAATGATCTCTTTAAAAAATGACTATCCAATTAAAAATTGTCTATTCAATAAATTATATATAAAAATAATAAGATATAATCTTCTGATTCAGAAAAAGGACCAAATAAAAAAAGTTACCAAAGATACATACTATTTATAAACAAACGTTTTATAAACATAAAATATTTTATAACATATAATAAACGTTTATAAACAAATATTTTATAAATATACTATTTATAAAATATTTATATTATTTACAATGATAATAGACAGATTTAGAGATTTGGAA